TTAGATAATACAGCTATAGGGGCAGTTCTTCAGCTGATGTGCACTGTGCAGTACTATAATTTCAGTCACTTGAAGTCAATAGAGCTTCACCAATACATGTCTGCTGAGGTGGAGGTCCAGAGACTGCAGTAAGTGGACCAAAAGTCACTAAATATACCCTTGATGCACAAGTAATATTTTTATCCTCAGCAAGACAGTATAGCATGCTTGTTCTGAGAGCTGCACTGTCAGATAAAATTTAAACTCAATATTATCAGACAGCCCTCAGGGAGAGACCTGGTCTGCTTTCCCCATCTAATACTTAGCACATTTGGAACACTATAAATAAAATGTAACATGCATCTGTTGCAAATGTGAAACTTAAGGGTAAAAATTATGGCTTCATAAAAGAATTGTGATGTCTAGCTAGTTTTGGAAATGCTAGAGAGTTTCTGAGGGGAACACAGGTGATACAGCAGGTGTAAAACAGTGATTTACTTTGACAGCCCTGTATATCAAAACTGAAACAAAAGACATAAAAAGAATGGATTACAAGTTGTTGTTCTATTGCCTTTTTTGCAGTGCTATGAACAATGCAAGGGGCATCAACTTCAATCACAATGAAAAGCAAAAGTGATTCCTTCATTGCAAAGAAGGAACCATCACTTTGAAATATAACAACATTGTTTTAGAGATTAACCATTTCCCCCAATGAAGACTGAAAAATCAGTTAATTTCAAAACAAAAAGGTTTATTTCCCCTAGATGTTTTCAGATACTGCATTTGGAAATGAGTGAAACACACACATAACTTGGGACCAAATTTTGAAGTCTACACTGACTTGATTAGATTATAAACTCTTAATTCTGGGCTTTACTCTCCCATTGAAGTTAATATACTGGAAGCTTGTGGAGGCTAGAACCTTGTCTTCTTATATGGGTCTATCAAGTGCCATGGCACCCTTAACCTGCCCTAATTAGTGAAGTCAATGAAAAAAACTGTTAAAAGAATGCTCAAATTGCTAAGTCAAGTACTTAAAAGTTAGGAAATACCAGAATGAAAGATGTCCATTCAACTTTTATTTACCTCACCCTGGCCATAAGCACCAGGATAGGGCGTTTATAGATGTGCTCCAGGAGGTGGAGGGAAGCGGGACACTTTAATTAGCAAGCCGCATTAATTAGCAACGCCACATATATCAGCATCCCAGCACTGGAAAATGGTGGCGGGGTGCTTTGAACTAAAGCTCATAGAACAAGTTTTAGTTTAAAGCTCCCTCCCACCATTTTTCAGTGCAGAAACGCTGATACATGTGACGCTGGAGGCTGGTGAAGTGCAGTAATTTCTATGCTCCAGTAGACTTGATTAATCGAGTCTGCTCCAACACACTGGATTCATAGCACTTCGGACCAGCCTCACTGCACATCTATAAGAGCCCATACTGTCTAAGGACTCCTGCTGTATGCCAGGTGATTTAATGTAGGTTAAAGGACTGTACCATAATGCATATTTGCAAGTGGACAAAATTAGAGTTGCACAATCAAGGACTTCCGAGTCCTTGATTTTGTGACCTTATTTTTTTTTTAATGCAGGTTTCTTATACAATTGCTTTAGTAATTTTTTAATTTAAAATGTTATCATAAGAACCATATTCACTTAACATGAGTCATTAGGCTGTTTTTGATCTTTTGATCCACCACATGTAGTTACCCATTATAGTAATGGAGTATCTGGTAGTAGTAGGAAGATATTTTGTTCTGTGTGGAACTGTGATGGAAGCGGGGGAAACACGCCCTCTGCCAGTGGGTTTCACAGCAATACTGAATTCAGTTGCGGCACATGAAAGGGTCAGTATTTAGTGGTTACAGATAGTTCTAACCCTGCACACCCAGGGCACTTACAGAAGTTACATGTTTTGCACAATGAGGTCCCTGAGAGCACTCTACAGCCATAATATAACAAACATTCATGGCTGCAGAGCACTTTTAAAATAGCTGATCACGTGAAAATTAACCATTGTTAAATCAGGTATTAGACTGCGCATTAGGGCAGAGCACCTTCAGGAACAGGCTCCCTGCAAGGGTTAATTTTGAGTGATTACATCCACATCCCATGCACCTTTGTGGGGCTGTCACAGATAGGAAGAGTCTCATCCTGCACAGCAGGGAATGGAGGAGAAGGGAGTAGGAGAAAGGTAGCCAGCCCTGCTGTTAGGGTGCTCATGCCAGGAGCTGGTGCAGGGAAGGGAAATCCATGCTTCCCCAGCACGTGGGCCTGAGCCAGCTTTCCCCAAAGACCCCAGCAGGGGTAGCAGGGCTGGGCCCGCATAGCAAGGGTGCTTGGATTCCCCCTCTGCCCCAGCTCCCAGCACCAGCAGCCAGGACTGCTGTCAAGGTGTTCACACCAGGAGCTGGGGCGGAGACAAATCCAAGCACCCCTGCCAGGGGGCCTAGCCCAGCTACTCCTGCTGGGGTCTTCTGGGGGAGCTAGCCTAGGCCCACATGGCAGGGAGCCTCAGATTCCCCAGCCCTCCACCCTTCAGGTCCTGGTACAGCAGCTAAGGCAGGGCACAGGGAAGACTGCATGCGACCTGCTGCAACCAGCAGTGAAGCTGGACAGATCACCCCCACCCCACTACAGAACAATTTTGCTAGCTGCCTGCTCGCTCTGTATGGTGGATGCCCCCCAGAGAGAGCTCCCTGACAGGGGAGAGTCCTGGGGAGAGGGAATGCTTTCTTGGCAGGGAGGAGTGGGGACCCAGCAGGCATAGTCAGCAGACATCTGGAAAAATTGCAATACAAGGGAGTGGGGCAGCATTGGTCTGAGGAGCCAGCAGAGTATGCTGTGAGGCCTCTGACAGCACCCCCTACCTCCTGGCCTCAGCCAGTGCCTGGAGGCTCTAAGCCCCCACCTTCAAATGCCTCACGTCTGTTAAGTTTGATTGTGCTGTACCTTTAAGCGCTTTGTGTAAAGTGCAAATGTTACGGGTGCGATGGGAAGTGGCTTCCAAACATTTGTGTAAGTGCCCCCATTGTCTCCCTCTTCTCTTTTGGACTCATTTCCCCCTACCAGCTCCTACCCCTGACCCTTCCCCACCTAATATCCATCTAAAACACCTAACACCTCTCCCTGTCTGCCTCTTCTCTGGCTTCTGTACCCCATTACCCTCCCTCTGCTTCTGGTCCTACCCACAACTCCTCTTATCCACCTGAATACCGCTCCTAACCTTTCCCTTCCGCAGCTCCTGTCCCTCTTCTTCCACCTCCCATTCCTAATCTTCCTTCTCCCTCAAGTTCTTGCCAATAGCTCCTTCCCCTGCATCCTTTTCCTCTTTACATGTTTCCCCACTGCATTCCAGTCAGGCTGTTCCTCATTCTCTTTCAGGCGTCCATGGCCTAAGCATGGGAAACACTGAGGGCAGTTTTGCTTTCAGTTCAGGTGTTGACCTCCATAGGGGCTGCTAGCAGCTGAGGGAAGCAATTGCAGGAAAAATTCCGGCTAGTGACTGGGGTGGCATGTGTACAATCTGGCCAGTAAGAAGGAATGGCAAAGTGAGAAAACATGCCTAGTGCACGTGCAATCTCCTCTAAGTGCATACAAATGATTTCTCAGTCTTATAACATGGCAAAATGTGCCTGGATTTTCTGAAGAACAGCACAAGGGATGCCCTAAATTCAAAGGCCATATTTCAAACTTTTGCTTCAAACACTGTTTATCACCAATTTCGAAAAGTGCTTGGTCTTCCCAGGCAAACAACTGTAAGAATTTAGCATTGGCAAAACAATGCGTTTTACCCTCACCTCGTTCTCAGAAGCATCTGAGCCATTTTAGCTCCAACAACTTTAACAATTCAGCTTGAGGCAGATACTTGAAATGGAAAAATTCAAATCTGGGTGGTTTAAGTTTGGCAATGCCATAAGCAAGTGAAAACAGGTAAGCAATGGACAACTTTAACTATAGACACTGTGCTCTTCACTGCCTAGAACATTTTCCCTTATCAGATATAAAACAGCTGTTTCTAAACAGCTGCTTCATACCACCACAGGGAAGGCTGCATTTCAACACTGGGTAAAGCAATTTCCATACAGAATATGTGAAAGAAAACATTTAGGTTATTTATAAGGAAAAAAAACTTCCTCCCCAACAGCAAGAACTGCATGAGTAGAAAAGAGTCTCCCATGAGACCTGGTGAAGCTCCATGCATGGAAGCACTAAAAATTAGACCAGTTTAAGCATTAAAAGCATATCATAGGGCAGAATCCTGTGTTGGTGGTGAAAGGCTGAATGAGATGAACTAATAGTTTCTTTCCATCTCCAGTTATTTTGATTCTACATGTAAAGTACACAAAATGCTTTGAGAGCCTTGAGAATACAAAACACCTAGTAAAGTAAAGTATATATAGAAGCATTAGTTATGAAACAAATACTACAGCTATACAAGTAGGGGCAAGGGGGAAGAAAGCCAAATGATTTCCTGGTGTAGCTCCACCCATTTCAGCAGAGTTACATCTGAAATTAATTTAGCTCATGTGGTTTAGAAAAGGCAAAATTCATAAGATTCTCAGACAACATGTGTGATTGCTGCTGTTCCAGACTCCATGGGATCTGAAAGCTCATGTTTAGATGGAGAGTCAACTGCAATGTAACCAAAAGTGTGGCATGTGCAACAAAATGAACATTTTTGTGCTTTGAGGTAGTACAGAGCACAACTAAATCTTTATTTTCCAAAACTGGGATAATCACTATAAAGTCTGCTATTAGACTGCAGAGAGATTTAGTAAAGATACCTCAAATGTCTTTTTAATGCAGTTTGCAAATTGTTGAGGCCTGCAGACAATGAAGAGGAGGAAATTATAATCAAAATTGCTTGCAGTGAAATACAAGCAGTACAAATGTTTAGTAAAGCATTATAGTATTTATTTGCTTTTAATCAATTCCATATTAAAGAATAAAACAGGACATTTTGTTAAATTAATTTAGTATTGATCAATGAAAATAAATTAATGGAATTAATTTGCCATTTGTATATCTCCTCCATGAAAAATGTTGCTGGGTACATTATAATACAAAGATAGTTGTAATATATGGTAGGTACATTGCAAAGTGGGGTTGGTACATTCAGTGAGAGCTGCAGAATAACAGATGTGAAAGGAGAATTATAGTTGGAAAGAGATCTCCTTAGAGTCTGATGCTCCTTCATTAAGTCACTTAGGGCAAAATAATCAAATGTGGATGGAAGTTTAAAAACTGAATTCTAAAATGAAAATGAAAAATGAAAGTTTAAAACTGTGCTGTGCTCCACTTAAAGCACTCCTCCTTGACAGCTCTGAAATGAAATGGTCAGCTGGGGTCCTACAATGCTATTGATCATTGTTCCCCCACAGAAACTGGAAGGACCCCAAATACCATAGAACCCATTCTTGGAGGTGTTGGGTGCTTATCCCAATCTTTTGTGGCTTGCTTCTGCCCAGAGTATATGAGAGTCCAACTAGAAATCACCAAGAAAAGTTTTAGTTGCAATATAAAAAGAATTGTGAAAAATGTAACAAGGGGGAAGGATAAGCCAGAACCTTGTAAAAACTAATGCATCTAACAGAAGCTGCATGGTATGCCTACAAATAGCTTTAAATAGTTCTCTTATCACCATGAGGAATTACTGACGATGGTCACATGGACTCATCATTTTAAGCCTTGCTATACCAGCTGTAAAAAACTGGAATCTTACTTTGTCCAAAAGTAATTTATAAAAAATAGCCACATGCTGTGTCCTACAGTTCGAGCATGGGCAATAAGATGCTGCTTATCTTTGGTTTCCCTTGCTTGAGACACCCAGACAACAATTTTAAGGAATATACTCTGAAGTAGCTGAATGGGTAAGTAAATTAGTCTGCCTGTGGGAAAAATAAAGCTTGTTGCAGCACATTTAATAGCTTTTAATGACTATTTTACTGGTTCCTTAACCCCCTTACTTAACTAAAACTGCACTAGTCCTACTTATTGCCTATTGCTTGCTCTTCTGGGCCAAATATGGGACACATCCATTTTGGGTTCATTTCCTGGTTCTGCCACAGACTTGCTGTGTGACCTTGAGCAAGATTTTTTTTTCTCTCTCTCTTTTCTACTTCAGTTCCCCATCTTGGAGACTTTGATACTTATCATGTCTATTCAGAACACAAGATTTTCAGGACAGAGTTTCTCTTTCACTCTCATATTTTAAAGTACCATATTTCATAGTGTATAAGTTGAGATTTGATGCCAAAATATTTCCCCTTAAATTTCCACCTCATACACCATATCAGTACTTTAGCCAGACTCTACGCTGTCTCCCTACCACATCGGGAGGTTGCATGCTGGCATCTAGGGGCTTCCCTGGTGCTGACTGAGGCCAGGCCAGGCTCCTGCCTCCCCCCTGCTCCTGCCCAACACCCTGGAGCTAGGCTGGGGGCCCAAACCCCATGCCCATTGAGTCTGGCCCAGGGACACTTACCCACAACCCAGGGGCTGCCCTGCAGGTATATGTTGGTCAGCAGGATGGAGCCACCGCTCGACAGTGCGGAAGCCACAGCGCCACCACCCACCCCCAGCAGCACCAGTGCAGAGAGCAGTAGCAGTGAGTGGCTCCCCACCAACAGCACCAGGGTGCAGAGCGGTAGCAGCGAGCAGTGCTTGCTGGGCAGGAGCCACTCATAGCCCCCCATGCTAAGCTCTGCTGCTGGCCACCCGGCTGCGGCTCATGGGCTCTAGCTGCAGCGGTGAGGTTGACTTATAAGAAAATCCTAACTTCTTTGATCAGAAATATGGGGCCGACTTATACGCTGTGTCAACTTGTACACATAAAATACGGTACCTAGCTCAATAGAGGCCTGGGTGTTGCTCTGATACAAATACTAATCATAGAAGTAGGGTCGGAAGGGACCTTGTAGATCTTCAAGTCCGACCCCCTGCCTGGGCAGGAGGGAAACTGGGCTCAAGGGACCCCAACCATGTAGGCATTGAGCCGCTTCTTAAAGACCCCCAGAGTAGGAGCCAGCACCACTTCCCTTGGAAGTTGGTTCCAGATCCTAGCCGCCCTAACTGTGAAGTAGTTCCTACGGATGTCTAATCTGAACCTACTCTCCAACAACTTGTGGCCGTTATTTCTTGTTATCCCGGGGGGTGCTGGGGGAAACAAGGTCTCCCCCAAACCCTTCTGGTCCCCCCTAGTGAGTTTATAGACGGTCACAAGGTCCCACCTCAGCCTTCTCTTGTGAAGGCTGAACAGATTCAGGTCCCGTAGCCTCTCATGATGATTTGAGGGTGCTAAAAACCCAGCCCTGTTCATGGCAAAACTACTAGTCAATGGGAGTTTTGCCACGTACTTTGACAGGAAAAGGGACCAGTAGTTTGATTTTCATCTGTGGTAAAGAAGAGCCAGGAAGTGATGCATACAGCATTTTCTGTTTAATCCACTTCTGTATATGGGTTTAATGCTCTTATCTAGCTCATTAAAGACTCATTTCTACTTTATCCTACTTTATGTTGTACTCTCCTTAAATGCTTTGATGATATCTGACAGAGGCTTTTCATATGATGATTATTTTTTAGTTATGTATGTCATGTGCTACTAAAAGAAATAAAACAAGAACAAATATTTATGCAGGGCTACTTTGTGATTCTGTTCCTGATTTTAAGAGAGATTAAATCATAAAATCAGTTTCTGTACTTGAAACCCCTTAAGCACACAGTCATTTCTGGATTCAAGATCCTGGATTGCTATTTAAAAATAAGCGATAAGAAACTCCATTACTGCATTACTTTTCACTAGTACATCCAGGATTCTCAATGCAAAGTCATGCAGCATGAACATGTGTATACACCTGGCATACCAGCTGAACTGAGACAGGTTACTCATCAGTATTTAAGAGTGCTTTCAATTCAAAAGGGAATTGTGTCCAAATCTTCAGCTCCCCAAACTGTCCTTATATGCAAGTAAATTCAGTAACTTTTTCAGCTTTTCATAAGAAAAGCAAAGATGATGCAGTTTAGATTTACATATAAACAATCTTCACTAATAAGAACTTAGGTATTTTCATCACAATAGCCAAGAGAACAAACATTATGTAGGTAACCTTAACAATTAAACTGTTTAGTGTTCCAAGATATACAGAAGACACATTTCAAAAGAGGAGCTTGAATGGACATGCTATACATATCCTGAGGATAGACTATGCAAAATGGTCCTGGGATCATAATCCTAAATTACAATTATAGATAGACTGTTAACTGTCCAAAATTAAAACACAAAACAAAACAGTAAGATGTTTTACCTTCCACGTCAAGGCACCTAGGTGGGCTACCTGACCAGATAAGTTTATACGTGCACTCAAGGAACTCTGCCCCTTCTAGTTTATATCCAGGAAAGCATTGATAATATACCACAGTTCCTACTGGAAAGGAGGACTCGAACTCAGATATATTAATGTAACTATGAGGAAGAACCAGTGGCCTCAGGCAACCTGCAAATTAGAGAAGAGGGAGGCATCTTTTATTATGAGGTGTTTATCTCAGTCATATTAACATATCCTGTTTATAGTTCCCAAGTTAAAAAGCATAATATTTCCCCCAGTCCTACTTAATCTCTCTCAGGATACAGTACACTAACAAATTACTGAAGTTAGCCATGATGCAAGTTACCCACGTGTCAGCTACTCTGCAATAATAACCTATGTGCATGTTCTTACCTTTCAGTACACGCAAGGAAAGTTACACCATTTTCATTGAAGGCTAAACTCCTTTACATTTATTACTAGGAGGAAAGACCATGCACATAGACAGTTGTTGCAGTACAGCTAGTACATCACAAATTCCTGCCCTCATTTATCTTGCAGTAACTTCTTGGTATGCCCATCCTGTCAGATGCAAAAGCTTCATTACTCCATTTAAAGTTCCTTCATTGCTTTCCCACACATTCTGCCAATGTAGGCTATTGGTGCTGAAAATTCATAAGTGCCCATTTACAAGCTGCAATGCTTTGTTTTCTAACCTCAAATATTCACTAGACTAGAAGCTGTTAATTATTTTGAGATGAAATCCCTTAATAAATTGTTGCTAATAGAAAACCATGGGCTTTATTGCTCTCCTTAAATAGGCAGTCTCTTAAGTTATTTTAATGCTGAGATTACCAATGTTACAAAGTGTGGCAAGAAAGGGGCTAAGTATTTAAAAAATGACCAGTAATTTTGGGACCTCAGTTGAGACAGCTTAAAGTTAATTAATGTTCAAAAGCTCTGGTGCCTCAAACTGGACACCAAAAAGCTGTGGCACTCAAGATCAGAAGTAATTTCCAAAAACTGTGGCCTAAGATTATCTAGAAAGGGCCAAATTTAACTTAAGTAAAGTTACATCTTGGATGTATTTGGCCTGTATTGATCAAATTAAAGCAGATTTTATAAGTTTGACACTGCAAAAGCCAATAGTGCGCTTCATAAATGATAGGATGTTATAAATAAAAGGAAGTTTATCACATGGTCACTCATGATCCAATGATATCCGATTAATATATATCCACTATTTTGAGCAACTACTGTTTTGAGCTGATACTCAGACTGAAGATTTCAAGTTGTGCATTGGGAAAAATTAGCAAAATTACTTCCCTTATTGCCTTAAATATGACCCTTTTTGGTTGGCAAACATCACTGGCAAGTGACCAGCAATGATTTTTGAGGAAACATGATTAGTAATCTAAGAATGAAAAGAAATCTTGTAAAAACTGATGAGACAAACAGAAGCTGCATGGTATGGCAACAACTAGCCTTAATAAGGCTCTTGTCACCTTGAGGAATTCCTGATGATGGTCACATGGACTCATCATTTTAAGGCTTGTTATACCAGCTGTAAAAAATTGGAATCTTTCTTTATCCAAAAATAGATTTTAAAAAAATGCTACATGCTGTGTCCTACAATTTGAGCATGTCCAATAGGGAGCTGCTCATATTCAGTTTTCCTTGCTTGAGATACCCAGACAACATTCTTTAAGGAACAGGCTCTAATGTAGCTGAAAAGGTAAGTAAATTAGTCTGGGCACTGCCCATGGGGAAAATAAAGCTTGTTGCAGTACATTCAGTTCTCCACAAAATAGCTATTAATGGCTATTTTATTGGTTCCTTAACGTCCTTACTTAACTAAAACTGCACTAGTCCTATTTATTGCCTATTGCTTTTTCTGCTGGGCCAAATATGGAACACATCAATTTTCTGCAGACAGAACAGTTTATACTGGCTTCCTACATGAAAAAATAACCAGTCTGTTGTGTGACAGCAACAAAGAATCAGACTTTGAAACAGGCCAAATTTATCTTCAGTGAAATTATACCAGAAATAATTTTGGCTCTTAGGACCAGATATTTAATGGTCTTTAGGCACTGAAAGGTACCTATAAGCATACAGTGGGATTTTCATGGGCATTAGGTGTATATGTGCTCCTAGGAATCACACTAGATGTCTACATTCTAAAAATAAACCTCAGAATAATAGCCTGTGCCAATATACACAAAAGAAACACAAAAGAAACCTGCTTCCTCAAAGTCAGATGTGATGATATATATGAGTTACATTCATGCTTTGTATTTAAAGATTGTCTTTTGGTTAACTGGCTTGTTATTTAATCTCTAAAGTATAATTATAAGGTCAAATATATATACATGTTCCTCTACTTTCAAATACAGTTAACAGGTCCACCTGTTAATTCTATGGGCATGTACGTCCCTGGGGACAAACAGCAGTAACTATAGTTGTCCTGCTGCTTAGTTGTTGCTGGGGAAGACCCCTGAATGTGTGCCCTGACATATGGCAAGTTGTCTCAGGTGGGGTAGGGGAGGCTGGAGCCAGCACCTAGGCTGGCCCAGAAGCCTTATCTGAGGTCCTAGGAGTTTCCCTAGGCAGCGTTGTGGGTGTGCAAAGCCTGGCCAGCAGCTGGAGTATGGGATCTCCCAGTGTCAAAAAAACTCCACTGCACTGCAAATCAGCAGTGCAGCAAATGCCTGCATGTACAGTGTGTGCAGTTTGTGGCATCGTGGACAGGTCTGTGGTACTGCAAACCACACGCGCACTCACCGTATGAGCACACTGAGACTGAATTAATCTTTTCAGCTTTAAAAATTTGTATTGCTTTTCATTTTGCCAAAATGTTTAATTTGGTGAAAAATGAAGAATGGGGAAGTGGAGGCAATAAAAAACAAAGTTATTTGGTTCTAGGTTACTGTCATAATTATCCAATGGCCAAAGTCACTGCCCTCGATTCTCATTTACTCTAAGGTTCCTTACAAGGTTCTGACAGTATAAAGTAACTTGTATGGAAAAGAGAAACATACCCACAAGCAGTGGGAATGCCAAGAATCAGTTGCTGGTCCAAGTCCTAATGTTGATATCACATTAATGTCCTCAGTTGCTGTCCTAACAGATAGACCAAACACTGCCCTGGGATGCCCAGAAAGAGGTTATAGAGCACTTGCCAAGGCAATGTGAGGAAGCCTGCACTGGGCCTACAGAATATAGCACTCTAGAGCTCTTGGCCTGGTACCTTTTACTAGAATGGTATTTACTTTTTAAAAAATGTGGCAATGACTGAATTAAACATGAGGAGATGTGAGGTTTTAGCAGAAAACTGAACACGCTGCAGCAGAGGAGTTTGTGGCAACAGCTGTTTCTATTCCAGGTCTCTGATATCACAGTTGAGGAAAACAACATACCAATAGATATAATGGCTCATTTCAGTAACAACCCAGAAAGGTTCCACCTGTTAACTCTAGGACCAAGTCTCCTATGCACAGGACAGACAGCACTTTGGTGTTCATTACCATTTCTTTAAAAATGGCAAGTACACTTAAAATTATCACAAACAAATTCCCTTTGAAGCGGAATGCAATGTTTTAAAGTGCATTTACTCTTTTGACTGGAAAGACTGGTTTCCTTAAAGGCTCTGCTTGTTTTGCTAAAACCCATAGATACAATTCATTTTATCTAAATGACTAAGCTAGGCCAGCTCCATTTGCCCAAACTTCAGTGTGCAAGTGCCACAAAGAACTCTCATTTCTTTATGAATTATGCATAGAATCACACACCATGTTAAAAAATAAAGCCCCTGGGAACTCAAGGACTTACATTTTCTTCTATATTAGCTATAGTGTTTTTAGCAACTGTCTGTTTTCAGCAGAGTGTGATTATGCTAGATTAATTTTATGATTTCTCTGATCTCCCTGAATTTTGAGAGAGGGAGCACTATTAGCAGAACAACAGGATCTATAAAACTGATGTAAGATGCCTTTGCACCAGGATAATAAGAAGTCATAACAGTCTAAAACTCTAATTCTGTTAAAATACAGTACTTCATTATGGAATTCCCTATTGTGCTCCAAACATAAAGTCTTATCTTACTCTGAGAGGGCAAGCACCCATTATACCCACTGACTTCACTTTGCTCAGCATTTCACATGGTCAAGCCTCACTTTTTAAACTGTATTAGACACATAGGGCTTTAGATTACAAATAGAGATCAAAGTCAAGTGGGGGTTAGATAACATAACAAACCCCAACCTTTTCCTTAACATGGATACAGGTTAAACTCTTGGGTATTCTTACATGTACAAGTGCTGCCACGCCGGGCACTTCAAAAAACACCGAGTGCTGTGACATTTGCAGTTGTATAAGTGACAAAATGTGTGCCAATGTGAAGAAAGTGGCGGCGGTGTGCTTTTGAACAAAACACCTCGGAGGTGCTTTTGTTCAAAAGTGCACTGCCACCATTTTCTCCGTGCTGACACGCATTTTGCCACTTATACAAGTGGCGCAGCATGATGCGCATCAGCTCCCGTGCAGAGCAGACTCAATTAATTGAAGTGATGGATCTCTGGCACTTCCGAGACCTAACAAGTATGTGTATAAATGCCCCTTATCTCTATTTAATTGATCAAGGTTTGCTTCAGGGGAAGCCTAGAATCAACCTCAGCCAGCTAACTGAGGTAAAAAATACTAACCTCTGCTTGCTAGAGGGCAAAAGATCATAGATGAGGGTTAGTTAGCATATGTGCACTACAGCCATCTTAGCTCCTCCTACTTTTCCCAATCTAGATACTACTTATATTGGGTTTTCTCCTTTTCAAACACCATTACTAACACTAACTCCTATGCCAAATTAGGCCCTGTACACTGTTTTATGTCATTATCCTCTTCTCCCTATGTCCACTTCACTGGGCTCACAAAAGCAAAAGGCAGCTAAAAGCATAGCTCATTCACCAAAGCTGGTAGTGAGCCACAGAGCCACAGGTGGGCCCACGGCTTGTGTGGTCTCCAAGACTTTGTGGTGGTCTTCTCACTGAGGTGGGCTGCACCATGTTTTATTAAAAGGAAAGACAGGCTTGTCTCAGATTTTAAACTAGCAAATAACATCTAAAATACTATTTTATGTTAAAGGTATGGTAAAGAACATGGAATTTTATTTTTTCCAGGGAATACATAGGGTGAGCAAATCCAAAAGCCTTTGCAGAAGTACTATTAGAATGCTCTGTAACTGGGACAGAGCAGATCACTTCTATTCTCTGCAGTAACAGGAAAAAAAATACAAGGTACACAAACTATAAAATAGGATTTTCTGATGTACAAAACCTTGGCAAATGGGCAGATTATCCCATGTTCCATCGTCTTGACATACTGAAACCATGTTGTCTAAGTCAGGGTAACGGATCTGGAATCCTTCATGACAGCTGATTATTAACTGATCTCCAGTCCTGTATGTCTTGTTATGAATCTCTGCATCTTCAACATGTGGAACAAGGCAATCTGTGACTTCATAAAAAAATATTATTAACTTAATTAAAAAAATTCATAGCCAGCCATTTGACAGTCAAGCTCTTAAGCAAAGTTAAACCATAATATATCTATTCCAGTTAGACAGTTTGCACACTACAGAGCAAAAAAATGCAATTCAGTTAATATATACTTTCTCCAGCAACCCATCAATTCTATATCTGTTGTATGATACTCGTCTGCAGTCTTATGATAAAGGTTCATATTTCCAAATTCTGTGAACACGGAGGTATATAGGGCTTAGGTCAAGGTAGGGTTTAGAGAGGTCATTATTAATATTCCCTTTTTATCAGATATACAAGTTAAACTGCACATACAGTAAGCCAGTGTAAGCAGCAGGGGCAAGCAGCCTTAGTGTAAGAGAAGAGAGAAAAGAAAGGATGAAATGCTGGTACAGTGTGAGAAATGAGGACAATTACATTTTAATCAAAAAAGAGAACACACATCAAGTACATTCAGCAGGGTCCACACAGATCTGTTCCAGAGTTCATACATAACAGACCTTCATTCCACAATCTCAGCTGTATATCAATTAAGTCCCCCGCAGAAGTATTATGCCTAAATATCTGTAGCCATATCTCTTCATTACCTGAGAATCTGCAAAGCAGCAAGGCAGCAGATTTAATCTAAAGAGCCCTCTACATTCCTTTTAGGTTTAGATGCTGTGGAACATAGTTTACATATTTATATTTATATTCAGAGATGGTCAAGCTTCAGCTAACAGCAAAATACACCTTATTTTATCGCTCATTCTATTTTTTTTTTGGTTATTTGCATCCTACATGATAATCAATCACAGATACTAAAGCAGGAAACACATTTAAACAAGGAAATCATTGGTGAACACTGGTGAGGCCTCACCTGGAGTATTATGTTCAGTTTTGGGCTCCACACTTCAAGAAGGATGTAGACAGGCTGAGCGCAGAGCAACAGAAATGAATAGGGGCCTGGGAGGCAAGACTTATGAGGAAAGGCTAAAAGAACTAGGGTTATTTAGTCTGGGGGAGAGAAGATTGGGGGGGTGGGAGGATTTCATAACAGTCTTCAAATACCTGCAAGGCAACTACAGAGAGGAGGGACACAGACTATTCTCTGTGGCTGTGGGGGACAGGACTAGAAGCAATGGCTTCAAAGTGCAGCAGGGGAAATTTAGGCTGGACATTAGGAGGATCTTTCTGACTCTGAGAATAGTCAAGCATTTACACGGGATACCTAGAAATTTTCAAGAACAGATTAGACAGACACTTGGCTGGACTGTTTTAGTCAGGGAGGATCCTGCCTTGAGCAGGGGGCTGGAGTAGATGACCTTGTGAAGACCTTCCAGCCCTGCTTTCCTATGATCACATCATGTTATTAATTTTACAGACACCTGTGGTCATAAAAAGGCCACTGAGTCCTAATTCACGTATGTACCTATCTTCCTTAGCCTGTATGCCCTCAATGCAGAGATGCCGAATAAGGTAAAATTATTGTGAGAATAATGTCTGTTTCTAAGAGACATATAGTGGATTTCATATATTAATCCAAAGGATAAAGAAAAGTCCCTGATTTTGTACTGCATTATACATACCAGTTTAATATCAGTGTCTCCACTGAAGTCAACTGAGTCACAGCAATATAAGACTAGAGTAAAACAGTAGCAAATCAGGACTCAAGCGAATTAATTTGCCAAGATGTTCTAAAGTAACTAGTAACTTTCAATGCTTCTGTTTTTGGGTGCCCAAAATACTGTCTTCAAAGTGCCTCATTTTCAGAAAATGTTCAGCATTTTCCCTTTCAAAGCAGGCTTCTTTCAGTGGTCTCCATTTAGATACACAAAACCTAACTGGACCCAAATCAATTGCCAGCTTTGAAAATCTTGTTTGCTAAATGAAGCATGATGGAGAATCAGTGTAGTAGTGATATATGGGCACAAATACACTGTGGTACTAAGCAGAGTGGTGTTTAGATGGAATAATACATAAATAAATACAACAGAGGGTGGAAGATTGGGCAGGAAAAAGAGGCTGGCAAAAAAACCTTGCTGCCACTACATTGCTAAAGGCCAGGCAAATGGATAAGTGAAGACAGCAGAGGTGATTCAAAGTTTATCCTCCTCATAAATGTGAAATAAGATTAAAGAAAGGAAAAAATGTGAAGAAATATATCCATGAAATCATCTGTTTGGATGCCAGTAAGCAATCTAGGTCAGAACCAGGAGTAAAGAATTACTAAGCACCAGAAAACATAAGGAGACTAAAATGCTCCAAATAAAAAAAAAATCATAAGCCTGTTTTGTGCGGCTTTACAAACATTTCTGTCCCGAGAGATGATCACCTGCCATTTGGAGTGCAACATCTATCAAAAAAGAAGCCTGTTTTAAAAACCACTTGGGAGCTCCATACTTTAGTGAAACAAGAGAAAGTTTCTGCCTATTTCTCTAGCAGTTTTTTTCCCTAGGGGGTCAGAGTAATATTACATTTAATTTTAGTAACCAGTCATGATCATCCACATAGAGGACGAATTGTAACATCTTGCTTTCAAGCTGCTTGCTTGTTAGAGGCATAATGTCTAAGCAAGGCAGAGACAATTTTGAATTAGACTAGATGAACAATTAGCAAGAGTGAGGAAATAAATGATGTCCTATGATTCCTTCAGTTTTTCAGTGACTCTTTCAGTCACCAAATCTCACCAACATTTTTTGGAGAGTTGTTCCTTGCTCCAATCTAAACCTACATCCCTTTACACTTTTAGCGTATAGCTATCATTTTGAGATTACATCGTATTTGCCAGTCTTATATTATGTGACCTAGAAAGAAGTACTAGTTAATGATTTCCCCTGATACCTTTAATTGATTGATTGCTGGTGTTGTTTGCCAGGTATTCAGACAGAGTGCAACTGCTATCCATGGGAACATTAATGGGTAGTGACAATGGTGTAACCAGGGGTAAGCAAGAAAAGCACCAGTTCCAAGGCTCTGATTTGGAGGAGGTACCAAAATGGTAGCCCCCAGGGAGTCCAAGCCACACCACAGAACCGGAAGCCCATGTATGGGGAGGCAAGACTCTGGCATTTGGCACCTGTTTGTAGGCATCTCTGCCCAGGGTGCCAAAATTCCTAGTTAAGACTCCGAGTGATGATAGCAGTATGTCTAGTGCTGCAGATGACCAGAAACCAAAAGGTTTATATTATTTATTCATTTCTAGAGTACCTATGCCATAGCCTAATAAGTGTACTAATCACCTAATAAGTGTACTAATCACACCTTGCCCAATATTTAAACAGTCTCAAAACACTGGGATCTCCTCAAATAAGACAGTGAGCACAGGAGTCCAAAATGATGCCGCAAACAGCAAGGCATGACGATGAATTTTAATGCTGCCACAAGGAGACTTCAGTGAAAGTCTTCAAGAATGGAATAGCAAAGATAAAGAACCTGATCTTCTGCCTGACTCAGAAGCTGAGGGCGAATGACAAGAGATAATGCCAATACACAGCTCACTCTTGGGATAATGGTGTTCCATTGCTACATAAATACAGAGGCAGAGTATATGCTGAGGTGAAATACGAGAATTTATTTTCAAAGCAGGGGAAATTGATCCTGTAACAACAATCTATTACAGTGACTTCATTCCTATTATCCCAAATGACAGCTGTAGATTGAACCATTTTAATCAGATGGATGTTGGCAGACTACAGTGACAGTTGTTCACTGTACCATTATTGGCCTGCTACATCTAGGCTGGCGTAGATAATAGGCCTATTGCAAGCTTCAGTTGCTTCCAGACCCTTGTATCCACAGTAATACAACCTACTGTACTCTTCTGAGCAAACTAGTTTCTCGCTGGGGGAATTTATATTGTTTAGCATTTAATCATGAATAAAGTGTTATGGTCTTTCCTTTTGGCACTTGCATTAGCCAGCACAGATTCCATTTGGAACAGCTGAGAATAAGTGATTCAATTTTAAAACTTCTTGGCCCCAGAAAATGTGTGTGTTTTTCTCAAGTATTTTGCAGCAAATACACTGGAACCTGGAAACCATACCATGTAATTATTAATCTTTACACAGCATTAAAGAGAAAAGTGTGCTACTTATATATTCTATTTTGGAGATGTTTCATATGATCCATTTAAATTTAATACTTATATTTTAAACCAGGAGAGCCTAAACCATGGGTGGGCAAAATGCGGCCTGCCACGCCATTCTATCCGGCCCGCAGGGCCCCTAAAAATTTTAGAAAATGAATATTAATCTGCCCTGGGCTGCCTGTTATGCGGCCCTTGATGGCTTGCCGAAACTCAGTAAGCGGCCCTCTGCCCAAAATAATTGCCCGCCCCTGGCCTAAACCATGTTCTAAGCAGGGCACATAATTTGTGAAACTCCAGGAGCCCAAACACTGTAAACGCAGGTCATCTTTCATAGAGGCACAGCCTGCAGATACTACTAGTTAAGGTAACGGCATCCCATTTACAGGCCATTGGAACAGTGGAGGCAAGGCTCCACTGTTTCTGTAACTTAAGCACAAGGAGGGGATAATGCTCCATCCACCTTCACCCCCAGGTAACCCCTGGTACCCACTGGATAGAAAGCTGGATGGGCCTCAGGGCCACACTGGAACTGGAAACAATTAGTAGAAACCCACTGCCCTCACCCAGGATCAAATCCAGGTTTTTTCTAGTCTGTAGTCAGTCACATTACCAACTGAGCTATGCAGCTCCTGCAGATGCTACTACTTCCCATGTATAATTCTCCATCTTTGCTCAACTTTGGTAAAGATGGAATGGTGCATATTAGGATTTCTAGTTTTGGAAGTTCATGTGCCTGTGTTAAAGGAAGGAAGTGATTTCAAGCTACAGCTTAAAATACTGTGATCTGAATTTTGGCATGTCACTATTAAACTGCCCCAAACTCAGCTACACCAAGAGGTCCTTGGTTTATATGCAGGCTCATTGCATGATCTCTCCATTTTGTCTGCTTCATTCAGTTGAAAAAGCACGGCATGGAAAAAATACATGACCCAGTTCAAGTAAGATTTCAGAAAGAATTTCATAACCCTTCCTGCTCTCAAGAACAGTGATCAAAGGCAGTTGTGAGGCAGGGCATGGCCTATTCATGTACACACAAACGTGAAAAAAGCCACTGATCTGGGGTATGTTATTAGGGAGCTGCTAACCTGCGTGACATGTACTTTATCTGTGGCCTGTAAGTGCAGAATTACACTGGTATGATTACTATGGCAATGACAAACAGATTACATTCCAGGAAGTACCACAAGAATCCTGCTGTTATTACTCTTCTTTCAGTAGTGCCTAAAGGCTCAACTAAAACTGATGCTGTATTGTTCTAAGCACTGTATGTACAACATACAGGATCTGCACAACAATGGATCTACAATTTTGAATTGGGGGTGGGGGTACAGTCAGGATTGTACCCTTGGCCTTTGGGGCCAGAAAGATGTGGCAGGCACCACAAGTTGGAGCTCTGGGCTTCCATGAATGGCAGAAGTGGAGGAACTGAAGTGGGAAACCACTGCACCCTGCCCTGGATTTTCACCTGGCTATGCAATATCTAAACTAAGTAGCTTGGATACCAAAAGAAGAAGTGTGTTAGCAGATTGCTCTGCCTGGAGTAATTTATCATGAGAAACCAAGCCTCAGCACTGCACTAACATGGTTGCAATGATTCTGGTATCTATTTTAACCCACTGAGAACTAGCTTGGGTATCTATCAGCACTGCTTTGTGCCATGTGGACATACCCATAGGAAGGGTGAATCCCTATGCTGAAAATGTGGCAAATTAAATAGACAAGACAAACACAATGTGGGAGAAAGGAAGTAACTTCCTCTTCATTCCACAGGTTGGGAACTGCAGGACAAAACATACGTCTCTATGATTTATGGCTCAACAGTGTAGAGATACCCTACTCTAGCTGCGTGCTCAGTAGCTCAGGAACTGGAAAGCAGCCTTCAAATGCACTGTGACTAAAAACTCAGCCTGAGAGGAAGCTATTAGCTCTTGTTCGGAGTATTCCAACAGTTTCAGCAGCCACATATTCAAGGTAAGAGAAGATTAAAATGCAAAAAACACAGCCTCTTACTCTTAAACAGTAAGCACAGAAGTCTGACTTAGGCACTTTGAGATGTATGTGTACAACCACGTAAGAACTGATGGCAGTTACAGGCATAACACACACACTGGAGACAACAAAGGAATTTAAGTAAATAAATTTTTGAGACATGCATTTATCAAGTATCTAGTCATGCTGTGCTGTGCAACTGTGTGCTTGTTTTGACACTTATGATAGTCTGCACCTTAACAGGAAATGGCAAGCCTGCAGAATCAAATCAATTCACTGAAAATCTCCAGGTAAGCCTGGAGATTAATTTTTATGTGAATAACTTTATACAGCTTGTCATTCCATACTCTTTGGAACAGCATCAGTGCTCTAGTTTGTAAAGCAACAGTAGACTGTTCTAGTGAATTGCTGAGTAATCATTTTATATATGCAAACTGTCCTTAGTTAAAAGTCAGGCTTCTGGGATAAAGTTTAAAATAAATTGTGATACATTAGGTGTTTTTTTTAATGCTCCAACACTAAGGCAGTCATATTAAAAACAAGTATTTTAATGAGCCAGATGGCAGCATCTCAGATTTACATAAAGCACAAATGTAGTTCTTTACATGTGGCAAGTGCAAAACTCAGCTTCTGCTTTAAGTGTCCAGGTTTATCACATGTATTTCACCTTGTGACAGGTAACAATGATACACACTGCATTGTGAAATCCAGATTTACTGCCTATTTTTGCACACATTATTAAAGAAAAAAATTCTGCAATGAAGACTTTTATGACAAGCACAAAGCCTTTGATAGATACCATGAAACTCCAAAATTGCTTAAAAATCCTCTTCAAATGGATCCCAAAAGTGCCATCCTACTGTATTGCCCATCAATCACTCCTGTCTTATAACTACAGCCCCAATTCAGAAATGCCCATAAACATGTACTTAAGTCCCTCTGATGAATGTCATATGCATCAAAGTCAAATGTCCAGCAGAGTGAATATCCCCCCACATCAAGCTAGCATGGTTAAACTATACCGGTTTCTATACCCAACATCAAACAAGGAAGAGATGTGGCTAGTATAACATTTGGCTGCCTTTCACTCCCCAGCCTGAACAACCAGGGACCCGTTTACAGCTAGAAGCAACCAAAGATGGGCTTGAATACATGCCTCTGAACCAGGAACTATTTTATGCAAAGGCAGAGTGGGAAAAACAAACTGCTTCTCCCTGTTACTAAAGTCTATGACTGTTTAGACTATAGTGTTAGGCCTCACATTTAGGAAAGACTGCCTAATTGGGAAGCGTGTAAACATATGGTTAAATATGTTACTTAAAAAGGACTGATTGCATGCCTAAAATTAAGCTCATGTTTCAGTGCTCTGAATGATCAGGGCCTTGACAGGCAATACATTTTAAAGAGTCAGTATTGGGAGTTAATGACCGATCATCTCCTGGGCAACTGTTATCACTCAGACTATCACATGATCATCCCTCAATATTTTGGATATTCTCCCAGGCTGAAATATTGAGCTCACTGTAGAAAAAAGGAGTTTTGTCATTGCCTTCTTGGGACAAGACTTCACCCATGGATTTCTACTCAGCTGGGTTTGTTTATATGCAATAGAACATACTAGTGCTTAGTGTAATAACTGTAGCAAGTAATACATATTCTGTCTCAGAGATACAGGGTGCATCAACACATTCATTAATGCACCGTTGTTAGTGTACATTAAATTTAGTATATGTATATAAATATACAAGTGACATCTGTATTTGTATACTTGTGCACCTTTTTAGTAATGCTACTGTGTCGTAGCCTAATAATATTGTTCAGTAGCATATTAGCACTGTTTGTGCTGTAATGCGCTACTGTGCAGTAATATTAGGCTACTACACAGTTAGTGTCTCATGTAGACATGTGCACAGAGAAGAATCTCCCACAGCAAAGACTCAGTAATGTTTAACAGAAAATACATGTTTTAAAAATTAGCTTTTCACTCCTAGTTTATTACCCATTTTAAAAACAGTTGTTTCTTTTTGTTACTCCATTTTATTTTTTTTCACAAAAAATCATTTGTTTGGAGAAGATGAGCATCTATGCCAAATGGATGAAATATGGGAATATTTGAATAAAATATGTGTGTGTGTACACTCCCACACACACTTGTTTAAATGTGGAGGATTTTCTTTTACGCTACAAGAGAATGAAGCCAAACCAAGAAATGACTGCTATTTTATGGAATGATATCTACAGGATTATCTTTGCTACAGTATGAAATATGCAAAGCATTTTGTAATAAAATATGTCTTTTTAGCAAAAGTGAAATGGGATTATACTTCCCTAGGATTGTGGTTTTTAACTGGACTGGAACAGGAGATTTCTGCTTTAAGATCTCCATGCTGGACAATTAAAATAAAGAACAAAAACAATCAACAAGATTTACTGAAAAAAAAAGAAAAACAGAATTAGCTGCAAATGAGACTACTATCAAGTCTATATTCTAGGTCCTTATGCATAAGATCTTATGAAAAGATATTTTTTAAGCGCAGAAAGTTTTAATAAAATTTGACCTTGCATTCACTGAAGTCAATGGAATTCCTGCTATTGACCTCAATGAGGACAGGATCAGGCCCTAAAACACAACACAATAGGGGTGTGTGTGTGTGTGTGTGTGTGTACACATACTCAGAGTAACTCCACTAAACCCACCTGCTCAGGTTCTGCCTCCTAGCTCATAATGCAACAAAGAGATAACTCTCCTGGCCAAAAATTATTTGAAAAGTTTCACAGAGATACAGCATAAATCCTACTGGTGCTTTTATGATTCTTGATTATAAGCTCTATTGAACAAAAATAAATCATTTGGAGGAAGAAGAATAATTTTAATGTATTTGGTGAAATGAATAGAAAGCACTGCTTACACATAATTTTGGCCAAAATTTATGTTTGTGTTTTGCTAGTCTAACCCTGATTCCATCAAATCTCTTAAAAGGAAACATAACTTAGTGTCCCAATTACTTAAGACAAGATATATTTTTAAACTCTGAACATATTTATGTATAATAAAAATCAAGTTGCTTTACCCCATAAGTGTCTGGATTACCTAGTAGTAAAATTATAGTATGCCAATAAACCACTACTTCCCATACTTATTCTCCCCTAATGAATTATGCATTACATATATGTAATAATAATAATAGTTAATCCTTTGATTAACATTCATCTTTAGTACTATTAGCAATTAATTACATTTTCATAGTAAGATCTTACAGAAAGGAGCACTAACTTGACAGGCTAGTAAAATATACTGTTATTGGGGGAGTTTTCTTTCTATCAACAAAAGCCACAATAAATCAACTTATAATTGGACAAAAGGAGAAACATTATTACTTCTATTTCTTAGTCACCATTAAAGTTCCTTTATGTCCCTGCCCCCCCTCCCCCCCCCACACACACACACGCCTTCCCACCACACTAATCTATTTTGACAACTTTAGCTCAGAAATGAAAATACAAATAACATATAAGCATATGGGCTCCAACCTTCTGCACTCTGCATGGGATGGATCCAGACAATAAGGCTGACATTTCTGACATGCTTTAACAAAACTGACTTACCACCTCGTAGGCACACGGGTATATCACTTGGTCTCCAGCTCAGGGAGCCATTAAAATGTCTCTCACACAGTTTTTTTGAAGGACCATCAAGTCTGTATCCTTCTTGGCAGTGAAATCGGACTCCAGAACTTTCAAAGAAAATGCCAGAACTGGGGGTCTTGTATCCATGTTCAGGGATTCCTGGATCAGCACAAGCGTGGAGGTCCTCGAACCCTATGTCAACAAAAATGTAAAGGAATTACATGTGTTCATTCCTCCTATAGTTAGCAGTCTTCCTTGTTCTAGGATTTACCATGGTTACAGCTTCTGGAGAACACCTAGGGCCAACAGAGAGGATCCACACAGCAATCATTCACCAAGCTCCTTATGCAAGGAGACCTGTAATCCTTTCAGTAATGCCCACTAACAATGCCCCTTCAGAATTTTCCAGGTGTTGAAACACTTCACAGCCTCACACACCTACTGAGGTAGGAGCCGAAATGAGGTCAATCCAGCCGCTCAACAGCTGATAGGTAAAAAGTAAAGCACCCATGGGAGCTACGTGTGGGGATAGCAGGGCAATGTATCTACAGCCAATCAGTAGCAGCTAGTGGGTCTGAGGGATTTGGAAGGAAAAAGAAGTGTGGTGTGTCACAACCCAGTGAGTTTGGTGCCTCGGCACGATGGAATTTTCTTGCCACATGAGAGCCTCTTGCACAGCGAAAGTTTTTGCTGCACAGAAGAACCTCGGTGCAAGAGAGTTCCCGCCAATTTGCAGGGTGCATTTCTTTCTTGCAGCACAGAAATGCATGGTGCAAAGAGTTCCCGCTATTCGAATGCAAATTTGTGTCCCGCTATTGACCAGTTCTAAATTATTCACACGTAGTGGCTAGTAATTGGCTAGCTAGCCGTTTAAAAATTCGCGCGACTTCCGCCCAAGTCGAAGAACTTTGAGCACGCTGCAAAGTGCCTCTAAAGAGATCTGACTTGCGGCTAGCTGGTCGATAGACTGATCACCTATCGATCCCTCTTCCCGTCGCCGAGCGCAATCCCAGACGTTCCCTTTTCCCGCCGGCTTAAATTGCGGACGGATTAACTGGCTTGGGCCTCGCCAGCTGGAACAACTCACATAGTTGTTCAGACGACCGGACCATCTGCGTCGCAACTACAGGCGGCGTAAGTAAATGTTTTTGCAACCATTAAACCTTGTCTGCCTCTCCATTTACCAGCCCGCCCTGACGAACGAGCAATTTCTAAATCACCTCGAGTCGGCTCTGGCCGTCCGAGACATGGCGACGAGGATGGGATCTAAGGGCACGGT